CCTGCAGTCACCCGTGAAAGGGCCTCCGAGTCTCAGAATCTAAGCCCTAAACCCCTACACCCTAAACCCCTAAACCCTAAACCCTAAACCCCTAAACCCTAAACCCCTACACCCTAAAACCACAATGCGAATCTCAGCTTTTGTCACGTCTACTCTAGGTTGGCCCCTAAAACCCTTTGAAAAATATTAGTATATAGGGTCCCTTATAAAAGCCATTAAGGAAAATATGAAATATCCCAGAGGCCTAACCAGATACCATAGTAGCTTCCATTTGATTTTCCATTATCCCAATATACCCCCCAAAATACTATACTTGTTTCCATTTTCTTTTTCATAATCCCAATATGACCCCAATATAACTATAACCCTACTATGTACCCTATTATGATATAGTATATCCCAGGGGCCTACCCAGTACTGGGTGGCAGGCTGACACAGCAACTCGGCGGCCCGCTCTTCGGCCGGAAGCACGCCCAGCTTCTGGCAAAGGGGGGTTCAAACGGTTTAGGGTTTAGGATTTAGGGTTTAGGGTTTTTGGATGAAGCAGTTTGAGGTTTTTCAAGTTACTGTTCAGATAAGGCTTGAAAGTCTTGCGGTTAGCGGCCAGGGCCAAATATTTGGAGATTCATCGACGAATGTAAAAAGGCGTATATATAAATATGACAAAACATCATTGAGACTATAGACTATAACTGTCCGATTAAGAACCCAAAAACATCCCCAAGCACAACTGACAATTCCTTATGCTGATACTTGGACGAGGATGGTGATTGCTACTTGTATGTGCAGTTACTGGTACTTGTAGTAGCACTAAGGCAACTCCTATCATTGTTTTTTGTTATTTTGCTGCTGACCCTTGACCCTAAACCCTATGATCCCTAAACCTTAAACCCTATGATCTTGCACAAACCCTTAATGGCCGCTGATAAGAAGCACAAGGCAGGCTGGCCGGGATGCCGTGGACCGCAGGAGCCAACATCCAGGTAAGCATACGCTCCATCTTGGCCTCACACAGACCGAGGTTTTTCTGGGTTGCTGTTAAGGAACTTAAGTTAAGTTGCTATATTGGGGGAACCCTATAATTTGCTATATATATATATACACCCATTATGGTAACTTAATTTAAGTTCCTTAACAGCAACCCAGTTATTTAAGGATTTAGGGTGTATGATTTAGGGTTAGCTATGTTGAAACAAGGATGTACAAAGATCCCTGCCTCCACAGAACCTCTTCCAATCTGCAGCGCATCAACCTGTCTTCACAACACACAAGTTTGGCTACGCTGGCGTCAGATTCATCACGATCATTATGGCAAGTATTGTTAAAATCACTGTGTTCTTTTCAATTCTGTCAAGAGTGGTATCATATTTCCGGTGGGCTATGCTGAAAAGCAGGATTTCTATGACAACTAATCTATCTTGTACTGTGTTCATGCTTGCTACTCCGGCCGGTTGTGGCAAACTGTCGGCTTACCACATCGTCTTCTGCCACAACAAGGCCCTCAGTGTCAACCACCTGGCAGCAAACACTGAAAACGATACTGTTATCATACTCAAAATGGCTGTCTCAATGCAAGCTTCGCAAGATCTATCTGCCATACTTCCGACATGAATCCCAAAAAAGCAGTACTGCGACAACAGCCATTCTAGAAACCTTCACGAGCATCAGAGCGGTACCTGTGATGAAACGTAGCGGTCATGTTCTTCCTGGTAATAGCCAAATTAAAACGAATGGCAATGACAGAAGTGAATATGATGGCACGGGTACCGTCTTCCACACCAACTTTATAACACGGAATACAACAACCAAAAAAAAAAAAACGACACAAACAAGAGATTCTCAAGGAGGTGGCCCCTCTGCACATGCCAATGAAGGCTCCAGCAACGGGGTCTTTATCGTGAACACTACACATGTGGTGGCTTCACAAAATGAGCGGAATTATTCATGAAACCGCAGTGGCATATAGAGGTTGTGAGGAGAATACAGGGGCCCTAGAAGGCTGATGCAAGTATTAGTTTGAAACCCCAGGAGTATAAACATGTACCCTAAATCCTGATTCTTACTTACATCATCTTGTGCTGAGGGTCCCCGAAAAACGGGTCCCCAGGATTTTGAAAACCCCCATATATGGAGGTTTTTTTCGAAATGTCGCCTGTATCATCCCTGATGGGGACGCTAAAAAACAGATGGAATCCCCATGGGTCCCCCAAGGCCTCCTCATGTGAGAAGCCCCCGTATAATAACGCCTCAGCCCTAAAGCCCAAACCCGAAATTCCCAAACCCCCAACCCCCTAACCCCGAACCCCAAAACCCTAAACCCCAAACCCTAAACCCCAAACCCTAAAACCCTAAACCCTAAAACCCTAAACCCCAAACCCCAAACCCCGAACCCTGGATCTTAAAACGCACACCCCGTCGGCTTCTGGGTTCCGACCTGCCAGGAGTCTGCACCAGCAACCTGCCCGTTCCAAAGACGGTTGAGTGAATTTAGGGTTTAGGATTTAGGTTTGGAGTTTAGGGGGCTGGGGGTTTAGGGCTCAGGGCGGCCAAACCACGCAAACCTGTTGATCTGCGAGAATGGCAAAAAAAAAAGGAGCCCTCCATGTCAATTCTGGGGGGTGTACATTATAATATGATCATAATCACCTTGAGGGAATACTAGTATGAATTATTCACTAATGCCCCTTTTTAGAGGTACCCTAATGTTGACAAATAAATACTTGCATCGCGCTCAGGGTTTCGGCTCCTACAACAAGGGATCCCTGACTTCGGATACAACTTCACAATTGTTCTACCCTAAACAGTAGTTTCCATTTTCTTTTCAATTCTCCCAATATAAACCCAATACTCCACGTAAGGGAGACAATTTTAGGTGCCGAAATGCGACAACCCTGAGTTTTGAGAATGACCCAAATGAGCTATCGTCTAAACTCCTCAAAGGGGGGTTTTATAGGGACTACTATAGGTGGTGATTAAAGGGGATGCTAGGAGTTTAGACAATAGCTCAAATCACCAGGCCTAGGGTGTCTGCTAGGAATCCACCTGTAGAATTGTGTCGCCTAGAATCCCCGTAGCATGTGCCATAACTGTTGGCGTGTATCCAGACATGAGTTCAGCCCTGTATATGCCTAAAGACTATAACTCTACAGGTATTTGGTGACGAGGCCCCCGGCCACCTCTCCGCATGAGGACTCCCTCAGAAAGTAGGACGAGAGCTTAGGGTCTAAGAGTAGTAGGAACAGTCGTAGGAGGAGTTAGGCCTAGCTGTTCTCGAAGTCTTCCTCAGCATAGTGGTGGTAGTAGCAGTAGTAGTAGTAGTAGTAGCAGCAGTAGGAGAGGTAGGAACAGTAGTAATTGTTCTGCAAGGGATAGGAGTAGTAGGATGATGCAATATGCAGTGCAGTGCGCAGGCTCAAGATATGCCAAGGATGTCGGAAAGAGGTGAAGGCTGATCCCATCCCCCTGACAACAATGCTAAATTAGGCTCTGAAAATTGTCATGGGGTTGGAGGTTCGGTCAATGGGGGGACGGGAGTAGTATAGTCATGCAGAGCAGCGTTTGTTCTCAATAGTTGGATGCTTCCATCACATGGGGTCTCCTGCTTGAATGCCCAAATTCTATCATGCCCACTATGAGAACGCCCAACAAGAGAACCTAATTTTGGGAAGCCACACTTCGAGTTTCTACACTTGACGACAAAATTGTGGGAACAGCATCCAAGCGTTGACAGCTGAGGCAGACGCCCGCCCATACCCCCAGAAATATCATCGCTGATGAGGAGCTCTCCTTGTGGTGGGTGGGTAGTTATGAACGGGGCTACAACTTGGACAACAGTGATGACCAAGTTTGGAGGGGAAGGGCAGACGAGCGGGAGAGGGGAATATCAAGCACAAGTCAACTTGTCTTACTGGCTTTTAATAGGGCATGAGGGAATATCACCCCTCTATAACCATTACATACTATATTCCCATATTCCCTGTACTACATACCCTGTCATAATGTAATAGCTTCCCTTCTGTTTTCCATTATCCCTATATAGCC